GTCCATTTAAAGAAAGACACCAAAGTTTTAACATTTTTGATTGTCAACAATATTTTTAAAATATTTTCCCGTGATAATTGATCGAACGTTTTCCATAATTGGTTATTTCATCTCTTAACGTTTTCGATCAGTGATCGATTATAAACGATGATCGGCACACCACTACAAGTAAGAGGTCAAAACTTTGACTTTGAAAATAACACCAAAGTTTCCATTTTACAAACCCTTCTCCTGTAGGTACTGCTCCAAACAATAGAATGTTTAGCGGATACAAGATGGGAATTACGAAGAATGGGACAACAGGTGGGTACATCATGTTTACAGCTATTTCCTGAGGAAAATGGGTTTTCGTGGAGATCAAACTGAAAGTGACTGCAAACTCTGATTAACCATTTTTTCTGGATGAAAACAACCTTTAACCCACTGCCTCTCTTAAGTGGAAGGTGGGTGCCTTGGAAACCCAGGGGCTTCCGCTGTGGCCAGCCAGCCCCTAGATAGAAAACTGCCCCCATGGCTGGCAAATCCCCGCAACCCAGCCATGAGCCCCCCATTCCAGGCACCCGTCACACTGATGAAACAGTGGAAGGAAGAAAAATAGGGATGGGAGGTGGGGCGAAGACGCTAAATGAACCGCTCCACAGCCCACTGCACAAACGCTCGACGAAGAACTCGCAGCCCCTATCCGTATACAAAGCTATCACAAACCATGTGAGCCTGCACTTATGGGATTGACCACTGGATGCCCGCTACGCTCGTGGGCCGCTTGACCGCTAAGCTTGTGGACCGCTAAACTTGTGGACACGAGTCCACAAGTTTAACCTTATGAACCGCTTGACCGCTAAGCTTGTGGACCGCTTGACCTCTAAGCTCGTGGTGGTTAACTTAGTTAAATTACATTTAACCAAATTATAGTGAGTATGATAACGTTCTACCTTTCTAAAGCAAGATATCTCTTAAGGCTTTACATGTGATTTTCACTATTAAACACTTAATGACTGGTCTCGAGGGAAACAATTAATTTTGTTTGCTGAGAATCTCAATGTTTCCCGAGGCGAAGCCGAGACAAAGTTGTTGGTCAACGTTCGCGGGTAACAGAGCACTGTTATTCTCTGACGTCATAGACTTTTGCAATGTTGTCCGCTGAGAGATTTTGGCGGGAAACAGTTTCATTGTTATATGTCATGTGACCTCGAAGTAACAAATGAGAGCGCGTGCTGTTGGACAAACATTTCCAGCTACATAACAATAGCAGATGTTGTCTACTTAAATATTTAATGTGAAATGACAGATAGCACTGACCCTGGCATTAATTCAGAAGCCCCTCCTTTTCATTATAATAGACGCTATAAATGAAGTAGCTGTATACAAAGTGTAAAATCTTACGGTTTCATTATTTTGTTTGAAACATTCACAAAAAAAACATTTAATTTCGGAAAAAAAAAGATTTCTAGGATGTGGCCCCTAAGTGGAAATCGTCTACAAGTTTTCTATCAATAGACATTGTCTTTACTATTCTTGCAAATACTCTTAGCCATATGTTTATTATCTGTTCATTTAGGTTTTACCACTTGTGACAGAAGTTGTGAGATGGTTTGATATGAAACCCTTAGAAATCCTTTGGGATAATTACCTTTCTCGTGAGCACACTTTGCTGTGCTACGGTAGCTGTATTGCGTTGAGGTACTCCATTCTGCACGCTGGTCGATTGATGCACTTTCTGGAACAGCCACCACCAAGCTGGAAGGTACGAATTTAAGAGTCGGAACTACTGGAGATTTCGCCTAGCTATCAAACGGAAAAATGTATATTTTTCAAATACTTTTCTGTTTTCAGGATCCAGAGAGTTGCGGTCGAGCAGCGCTGACAGTTGTGGCTGAGATTCAGCGGGGACTAAAGAGATGGTTGAGTCAGGTGGGGATGATGAGATGAGAAACTTACCACACTTCTGTGGGAGTAATTCTGCAAACACCTTAGTTCTGTGGAAATGTTTGGTAAAAAGCCCTTTCTATTCTGTCAGTCCTAGCGTGAGAAAAAAGCTGACTTTTGCGACGTCATCAATGGTTTCCATTCAGCTAAATGACGTTTGAGGAACGAGCGCAAAAATTCCGTACTGACGATGACTTGTCACTACCTAGTTCTGCAAGTGCACGTAAAATTTACTTGCGTAAACAAAATAGAGGCAATGTATGAAAGGCCACGCGTAAACGTAAAAGTTGAGCGAGGTTTACGCGTGACCATCCATTCATTGTCTCTATTTCATTTACGCGCGCGATAGTGGAAATCCACCTTAAAACAAGAGAACGCCTCAAGGCCTGTTTACATGGAGGTGGGAGACCGCAGAGAGGTGGAGTAACCCTCCTGTCCATATAATCTGTCATTTTAATTTGATCACGTTTTCATGAGAGGTGGGGTGACCCGTCACATATTACCTCAACTATCTGGGGTCCCCCACCTCCATGTAAACAAGCCCTTTAGACGTTTGACCGTGGTGGTTCCTGGGAACAGGCACCTTAGTGTCCCCCTCCTCAGTCCCCCACTAATTTTGCTCTCCGTTATTCGCCCTCTTTCCTCACCAAGGAGCCTGTTTCTAGGCCAGCCAAAGTCAAGGTCCCCATGAACAGGGAAAAATCGGTGAACCTTTTTCTTTTCGTTGTAATTATTGGCAAGACTTTGACCCGTAACTGTACTGTTATATTTGATTCTCCAGGTTCTTGGGATACTTAAAGATCCGTGCTTCGATAAGCTGTCAGTAGTTGCTATGGAAACAATAATGATATCACACATATGTTTTCCTCTTGAGTCAGACGAATACGAACAGGTTTGAAAAATACATGTAACAGGCGAACCCTTCTAGTGATTATTACCAAATTTCTCCCTCTAGTATCGAGGCTTAATCAGTCACAGAGGTCATGAAATTACAGTCAAACCAGGAAAACCGTGAAAACCAGAAATATTTCTGGAGTGTTATTGTCTTGCAAAGGAAAAGCCAATCAGGCTTGAGAAAACTAATCCTCAAGCAAGAACGTCAATTAGTTTGGTTTTGTGGCCAGTTTGCATGTCCTGATCTTTACTGTGATTGGTTATAACACAATAAACATTCCTGAGATATTTCACTTGTTCACAGTTTTCCCGGTCGCACTGTAAGTATATGATCACATAGGAATAATTCGCCCCGATATTTTAACAAATTCTTCCGACTATTTCCACAAGAAACGTAGGAGGTAAGAAAGGAAATTTTTTGCTAAATAACGAGTGTTACACCCCTTGCAAGCAGACACTTGAATGGTCATGGTCCAACCGACACCTCCTATTAAAACGGGCTTTTTGATCCTGTGTGTCCACTTCTGGGAGGTTCGACTGTATTATGAAACTCTAGAGTCGTTTGTGGTTTATGGTTTTGTTTTGTTCACAAAATGGTTATCATTCATAAAAGTGGGCCCCAGTTGAAAACTCAAAAGTTTATATTTCTTTGACTTGCACTTTAGTGAAAAATAAAGGAAATCTTCTTTAAGAGATTTCTCCGACTATAATCAATGGTCGATCGTTTCAGTCAATCCGATTATTACCAATTATCGATTGAGAAATCTCAGCCGATTCCCAACACTATTTAAGACCCCTGTTGTTGGTCCATCCGCGCTTTGGGCCAGCAACTTCCCGCTCTGCAAATCAGCGATTCTTCGTCTGGGGGAAACGGGTACTTCCTTGAGCAAGATGAAGTGCCAGCGTGTCATTTAAGAGCTCTGGTTATCATGAGACAGGGTATTAAGCAAACAAGCTGCAGAGTGCTTTCACATACTTTTTTGAATGCTCTGTATTGGTGGGAAGTGGCTGAATTTAGTTGATATTTCCTGAATCATGCCACTTCTTGACTCCGTAAATACCATTCACTATATCCACCTCAAATTTCATGAGTTAGTATCTTTGAATGATCTCTTTTTATCTTTACAGAAAGTAAAAGAAGAAGAAACAGTTTTAAACAAGATTTTGTTTCTTTATATGCACTCTTATCCCGACACGCCTCTCGGTAAGTTGCTCTGTCTTTTCTTCGGCTTCTTTATTATATATTGGAAGAAAATGTTAAAAATACCAGCATTTAGAGTAGTTACCCACTCAAGTTTATTTGGAATGGCACTGAAGCATTACTAAGCGCGATATAAAGTAATTAACCCTTTAAGCCCTAAGAGTGATCAGCATCAAATTTGTCCTTGTAATATCAATGCTTTGTAAAACAGAGTGGTCATGAGAATTACAGACATGATCACACAAGATTAATTTGCTTGATATTTTATCAACTTCTCCCCACTACCTCTGTAGGAAATGAATAGGGGCAACAAATGAGAATTCAAATTTTGCCTTCTCAGGGTTTAAAGTGTTAATACATTAGGATGTTGTATCCGTTGCATTTTAATTTCTAAAGTGCTCGAATGAACACAAAAATGTTGTATATATAAGATATTTAATCTTATCGCGGAAACGAGTTCCCCCAAAACAGGAAAATCACCTGTCTGCAACTCTCCGAAAAATTCTTTGCAAACGGTAACTTCCTTTTTACTTATTCAGTCTGAATATAACCGCGTTTATTTTCTGTCATTGTGGTCGTTGATTTGACTTTTCTTAAGAGCAAAGTATAAAAGTTAAATGATGCTTTTTACCACGGTACAAAGATATGCTATAACTAATGATAAAAATCCTCATCATAAAAACTATATATAAAAGTACAGCAGATAAAGGAAAGCTATAGGGGGAAACTGAATTCCCATATAAAAACTGCTCACCAAATAAATACACGTACAATGAAAATTTTTGAATTTGGTCTCCAAACTGTATGAACAGTAAAGCATTGAAATAGTTATTCGCCGCGCTACCGAGGCAGATAAATGCACGGTTAGTTTGAATTGAAGATGCTCATGTCTTGTTAATGATCTCCTTGGTGATTATCATTCAGATTAAATCCAATGTGAATAGACCCTGAATAGGGCAGTTTCTAAAAAAAAAAACAACAACAAACAAAAAAATTGAATTGTTAATCCCTAAATCTCAATGCGATTTCTTTTGTTTTACACCCCTCAGCCTCTGAAACATGTCTGAATTTTGATAAAATGGCCAGTTTTTGAAAGTGGAAATGATCCTCGCTTTGAATAAACAACCCTAACGGTTGAAAAAGAACCTGAAAAAAATTCAGGCCAGTTTGTTGATATGTTCAAATTTCAGTGTATGTAGTATTTAACATTATAACTGGGTAAGCTTCTGAAGAAACTGATATACAGCCTTGCGTGGAGAACGAAACACTAAATTTTGGTTTATGAACGGAGTTGAAAAACTACTGTATTGAATGGGCCGGTGTAAGTGGAAGCTTTCCACGGTGGCCAATGTGCTTTATCAAAGCAACCGCCATAGTCGATGGAGCTCCGCTACAGGGCGCGTAAGAAAGTTTCCCCGCTGAATTTTGAAGACTTAATTAATCTGAAAGAGCTGTTGGACATTTTTTATTAGAATAGATGTAATAACAACAAATACATTGCTTCTCTTTTCGCAAATTGCACCTTAGAGTGATTTTACTTAACCCGTGAAATAGGTAGTAGAATACTACTCGCTATTATGCACTAATTCTATTGTCTTCTTTTGTTTATTTGTAGCTATTTTGCACTAGTTGTTATTAACTGTTTCACGGGTCAAGTAAAGTCGCTCTATTAGATTTTTTTCTTATCACATATTGCAATTTCGACTTGACATAACTTTTGCGACATGTTAATCAATAAATGCCCCGAAACTTTAATTGTTTTATTTCACAGGATGAAGTTTTTGGCGAAACATTAAAGTTGGTGTCACAAAAAGTAGTTCAGTTTGATGACTTGCGTCTCTTTTTTTGGCAGGTGCTGTGTTGCAAAAGTGTTCAAGTTTGGAATTCCAATCCCCGTTTATTCCACCTTCCGAGGGTTTCCTAAGGTGTGAAAATTGTTTTAAATTTCCTAGGTTTATTGTTGACTGGCACAAGATAAAGATCCCGTCCATACGTATCCATTTTTGCATGAAAACGGATGTTTTTTTTGTCCAGTTTGGCCTATCGTCTACACGTATCCGGTGGTATCCGTTTTGCTGTACTCTTGTGGTTGGATGAAAACGGAGGGTTTTCAAAACGATTACGTCAATGTGTTGGAAAATATATGGCAAGTAAATGCGGATACTCCCCTCAAACATGGTACTGTCATGTTTTCAGTCTCTAGTGCGTTTTCGTGTGGACGCGGATTTTTTTGAAAACGGGGAGAAAAATTTCCGTGTTCAAACAAAAAGGGATACGTGAGGACGGGGCCCAAGTCTCTTTTCTCATAAATAAAAGGACCAACCGAACAAGTAACAGTGTGAACCGATAAATACTTAAGATGAAGACTTAATATAAGGTAAACAGCTGCTAGTTAGAATCTATTAAAATAAACCTTTTGGTTTATAGTTTTTCAGCAAGAGCATCCACAACCCAGCAACATGCACAACAGGTGAGGAATTTTCAGTGGTATATTTCACCTTATTTCACTTTCGGGATCGTTTGAGAAGATAAAACCAATTAGAGACCTTTCAAATAGTTTGCCTGTGGTAACCCGCGCCCTGTTAAAAATAATGTTGGTTATTCAAACGATCGAATCAGTATGAGATATTGAACATAGTTTCCTTGAAACCAACAATAACAACGGTGTTTGTCTTCTTGTTAGTTATCCTTAAATTAAGAAGTAATTTCGGAGCCACATGCTGTGAGATGCTGATTTCCCTTTTGTTGTGTTTTGGTCTTTTGTTTTGTTTCTTTTCTGTTTGTTTAATTGTTGCCTAGAGGCCATAACCTAGAGCAAAACTTGGTCATTTTATTATGCATGAAAATTCTGAACTTGACAGTCACCTCACCCCCCCCCACCCCCCCCTTCTTCTACCACTCTTGTTTTTTGCCTCCTATTATTTTGGCGGGGGTATGAACAAGTATTATACTCCCTTTAACTTAATATATTTTTTGTTCCCTTTGTGTGTTTTTTTGTCTTTTTTTGTGTTTTTTTCTTGTGTTTTTACTTGTGGCGTACGACGCATAACCCATGTCAAACTTTTGTCATTTTATTTTTACTAAAAATTTTGGCCTTGCCCCTCCCCCCCCCCCCCCCCTCCCCCCGCCTCTTCTCCCATGTTTTGTCTTTTCAGCAATATTTGTTGGGGGAGGGTGAAGGTAGGAGACACAACGTATTTGCACTACAATTTTTCTTCAATGTTCTTTTGTTTATTTATTTATTTATTTATTTATTTATTTATTTATTTATTAGTTTGCCTTTTTAGTCCCTTTTAATTGTTTCCTTGCTTTGTAGCCATAAACTATATTTGTCACAACCTGTTACCTAAAGGTTCTTAAGTTAATGTTTTAATTCCTTAAAGGAGAATTATTGCCCACTGGGCATAATTCCCTCCCCCCGCCCCCTCCTGTTTTGAAGATGATCTGTGTACAGACAATATATCATACGTGAATGGTGAATAAGTTTTTGTAAATCCCGATGTGTTGCTTTACAGGCCAGCAAGTTCCTAATCTCTGAGGTCCACTCCGTTCTTGCGAGATTCCTGAAAGAATGTGATGCAGATCAGCTGGTGAGGATATTATCTTATCAAATTCAAACCGCCTTCTCGAAAGCTGAGTAAATACATCAGCGCTCGTAAGAACATGAACGTTGCAGTTGACGAAGATGAGTGGATAGTGATAGATACTATTCATAGCGGTATGTGTACGATAGGGCTTGTATATCGTTTGTTTCATAATAGTCACTTTGCTATCGATCACGACGTTTACGAGCGCATACTACTGACTGGTCTTCATCAGGTGATGGGACTTACCGCCGTGGTTGCTGGTGATTGGTGCATTACGAAACTCATTTAGAATGAGAGTTTTCGTGCTTGTCGAGTCCAAGAAAAATTCCTCTTACTTGTGGTTGTAGTTTGTATTAATCTATCCTTTTTTAAAGAAAATTATAGAACGTTTTAACGTTTAGACACAACTCTTAGATTATTCTTACTTTCCCTTAGTACTGCGTGTTTCTCTACACTTTGCTAAATTAGTTTTTGGCGCGCACATCGTTCATTCCAACGTCTTGGCTAACAGTTAAAAGCTGACGGTAGAGTATTGCTGTATTCACACAGATCATGATATTCCCAGTCTTAGTTCATTACATTGGACAGTTCTTTGAAGATTCCGCCGTG